CACTCTCAACTACAAAATCATCCACTTCAATTATCTTCACGATAAATTTGTTACTTAGTTTTTTTTCTGCTTAAAAAATCTCCGATTAAAAAAGTATTAAAACATCAATAACTGAAAAGGCTGGAACAAGATAAAAAAATTATGCAACATAATACATAAAATGCAGGCATACACAGAGAGTATGCTTTTACTTGATATTTTATTTCATGTATGATGTATGACGCAGGCGGGATTTTTATATTTTATTTATAATTAGTCTTTTTAGTTAGACAAATTACTAGGTAGGTTCAGAAAGTAAAATGACTGACTAAATCCATATTTTTAAACAATATCATTGTATTAATTTTATTAGAATTACGGTAATGATAATTAAGATATACCTTTCTGGAATCTTTAAATTGATACCCTAATTGTAGTATTTAAAAAAAATCATAGAATATAATGGCGTCGCACAGCCGCCATATTTGATATTTTTTAACATTACCTACCTAAGAACACTTGGATTACTAAGATAATCAATTATCTAAAGACGTTCAGCAGTTCTGAAGATATGAGGTAATAAAGAATATTACATACATATTTCCTATGCAGTCGGGTAAAAACAGATGATAAACCAAAACAAGTAGTAAGTTCTACATCATAACGTATATCACATATATCAACATGTAATTTCTTTAGGATCTAATAATTAAGCTAATAAACCAAATAATAAATAATTGCCAATTTCAAAAAGAATATTAAAATAATCACAACCAGTGATATAATTTTATGTATTTTTTATATCATTTTATATAGCAAACCTTTTTTAAATTGACGACAAAGTAGGTCATGTAACAATCTGTCCTTTTCTATCACACTTCGATGTAGTTAACATAGTATCGGACTATCAATAATCTGGATCAAAGCAACGTGCCAAGACCCTTATCAAAAGTAAACGCCCCGTTTCAGATGTCTAGATAAGTTGGCAGTTTTATATTTTTTTCTAAAGACAGCCAAAGGAAAATAGGATTGAAGACACATTCTTGACACCAATAAAGGTTGTATCAATATAAAAATGTTAGGCAATATCTTATCTTCATATTTATATTTTTTAGTTTATTATTAGTATCTGCAATCTGTCATTCTCACTCATTCAGGTATTTATTTTTATTTTCACATAAAAATACATAATTTTATTAACTGAAGTGCTTTTGTTAAATTTTTCAAGAGTAAATAAAACATGATACGAAATATAAAGAGTATTATGATGTATTCCAAAGCTTTGTGGGTTTTTAAATTATGTATAAAAGTTTCCCAAGAATGTTTGTCATTGAAGACACTAAAATCATCAGCACGTAATTTAAATGAATACTTTTTTTGTCATGATCGACATATATTGACGTGCATTTTTCATTATTCTATAAGTCAAATAAAAAAAAAACAAAATTAGAATAAAATAACTGACTTGGATCTAAGTAGCCAAGTTTATAATACCCATGACTTATCCTTCTTATTGGGAGTCCCACGTTGGGCGCCATCACCATAAACCCAAATGAAAGAAATATTTAAATAGAAATCTTAAACAAACCTTTTATGATATAAATGTTACAGTAAAAACCAATTTATATATAGCGGATTGGTACCATTAATAATAAATCTACTGTAGAATAAGAATTTTAAATACCAGAAATTTTTATGATTTAAATTTGTTTTTAATTATTGAAGTGAACAAAAAATTCTAAAATACATTACCAACTCGCAATTCCATGCAAATCGTCAAATTTAGATATCGTCTTAGCACAACGGATTTTCTCTGTTAGGGCCAGCAAAACCATCCGCGCATAGCACAGCTTCACTAGACTGGTGAGGAACTGTACAGGCCACTAGTCTCTTCCACCTGCGAAGGGCGTTCATGAATTACTCTTCTCTTTTCACTCCTTTTACTACGGAGGTGGCTTTTACTACGTTTCCGGGTCCCAACCGAGGGCATGCTGAGAAGTTAATGAGTATATGTATACAAAATGCCCTATAGCTTCTCCAGCGGTATGGATAATCGGTAACACATTCTTCCGTCGGTCAAAAAAAAGGATGGCAATTGACGCGTTGGCATCTATCTGTGACAAAATTCAATTGATTGCGTTACATAATTGTCTGCCATCTCTGTCAACTTCAGTGCTGCTTTGCATTTGAACTTACGACTCTATTTATTTATTGGATTGTAGCTTCTTTAACTTATAAGATATGAAAACATGGTTATTGTAATAGCGAAGTTGGTCAATTTACACATATAATTTTACAACAAAAGAACTTTAGAGCACGCACTTCCGCACTGAAAAGTCAGTGCTCACAATAAACTTTTTTTAGTGTAACGTTAACCCATAGAGCAATCCTGAATCCGCTGCAGTGGTGATTTATTATTAAGCCAACGATGAAGATATAGTTAAAAAAGGTTGACACCAAAAACTCAAGTAAAGATTAATTACTTAATCTAAAACCTTAGAATGTCATTAAAGTTTACACCACAAACAGATGCGTGGAGTAACGTAAGCAATTTAAGGGAACCTCGAAAGTTTCCAGTTAATCAACTAAAGAGGTTTGTCGCTAAAACATACATTTATTCGGGGAAGTGTAATCAGTACCGTGTAAGCCTTGGTGATACTGTATTCTCTAATTCTAGACTAGCTGCTCAGAATAAGACGTATACTATATAATATTTTTCTGACATAAAACCATTTTCATACATTTCGCCTTCAAGCGGTTATCGGTGTCAGACCAATCCTTTAGTAACACACCATCAGTGGCTTTGCTTACCAAGGGTACTATAGAAAGACTTTTGAGTACTATCGGTGAAATATGCTACGGATGGTAGTAAGAACAAAGAGTTTTTTGAATATTGAAATCATATGCCAATATAATGGACAAGGTACGTATACTAATAAGATGTGTTTTTTTTGTCATGATTGAGAAGTCTTTGTTCGTTATATATAATTGTTTTGCCGGCACATCGTCATTGTAAATTATAGCCTGTAATAGGTGTATTAGAGCATTCTCTAAGAGTTAAATATAGCCCGTAGGTGAAGAATAATAAAATCGGTACAGTACTTTTAAATAAACAAACAAACAATCACGACTTTCCTATTTATAAAATTAGTACAGATTTGAACTTAGGTAATAAATGAATAAAATTATTCTTTGTAAATAGAATCTTCCTACAGGTGAAGCTTTAAATGCAGCAACTAATTTCGCGAAAGTGTAATTACTGTTGAGTGGTGAGCACCCAGATATAAAATACCCCGTTGCATCTTTAAAATAAAGTTTTTTAATGGACTGTGGTATAAAAAACTGTCTACCTACTCTATTCATGAATATTGGACATCGAATACTCAGGTATATTTCCGTGTTTATAAACTGTATAGAAGGTAATGGTATTCACCTATTGATTTCTATGATCTAATTTATTTATTGTTTTAAGATGACTTTTTATACTACATGTTACTAACTTAAATTTAATATCTTCTACCGAAAAAAAAATTTAAAATAGGTATTTGGCTTGTGAAAATTCATTTTACATCCACAGGTTTTTTTCTCTAATAAATAAGATCCAAATATTCTGAAACGCGAAAAAGCTCGTATTATCTTGAGCTTTTTCGCGTTTATATTTAATAACATAATTATGATTTAAGACTAAATGTGTAACTATATATAATTTCAGGTCAATCGATCTAAAGCAAGGGGGTAAAATTTTAAATACTTGATTGTAACCACAGAACTAAAAAACTGTTACAAGCAATATTTTACAAACATTTGCGTATTTGAGGTAGTTCAAGAAATGTTTTATCAAAAGATATCTACTTCGAGGAGGGGGAGGAGTTCGACAGTACAGTGGTTTGTGTGCTCTGTTTGAGATACCGTTGTTAAAGCAACGCTCGCAAGGGCTTGTCATAGGATGGGTGACCAGATAATTTATTATCTCGAGCTCCTCCGTGCTTCGGAAGGCACGTCAAGTCGTTGATCCCGGTTGCACATGCAGTCGTTAACACCCACCAATCCGCACTGGGCATTCGTGGTGGCATTTTTCACTAATAATATTTATCAGTAGGTATAGCATTGTGAATGCAAAATTGATCAAATATAATAATTAAAAAATCTCCCCAAATGTTGGGAAAAGTCTCACGCTCAAGCTGGTAACACGGCACACCTTCGGGCAGGTTAACTCGAGATTAATTACTGTGGCCGTCAGTTCATAAATCATTCCGGACCCTCGCAGATTTAATTTTAGGTATTCACTTCCCACTAATGTTCCTTGGGAGAAGCCGATTTATTTCCCTTTTAGTTTCGTGGCAATTAAGAGCTGTCTGGTATCGTACATTAAACTATCTCATTCAATTTATCATCGAATACGATCCGTTAAGAATTTATTAAAAAATTGTAGCAGGGTTTCAGAGTGATATATCACGAATATATTTCTTTTATATTTATCAATATTTAACCGAAAATAAATATATATATATATATATATATCTCACCCTTAACTATATTTACTTCTTAGTCTGATATACAGATCAGCCTTATAAATCTCAAAAATGATTTAATTAGTCCAAGACAACAAGAGATTTCATCACCTGAGGTTTCTCGAATGTAGGAACTCGTAAAATTATATAAGTATAATAAATCTTTTGTGAACTCAAGCTGCGGCACCGTGGATGAATTGAGTAGCGGAAGCCTCCAACGCACTAAGAAGTTTTTGACGTGGATACGTCTATGTTTTCGTTCTACAGGGGGGTCATTCTGTGAGCAGGAGTATATGCACTAACGCCATCTATTGGCGTATAAGTGAACTATGCTTGCTCTGCAGGGGGAGGGGCATTCTGTCAGCAGGAGTATATGCACTAACGCCATCTGTTGGCGCTAGTGAATACTTTTTTCATTCAACAAATGAACGCAACGAATATTTATTTATTTAGTGTTTAGTGTCTTCAATTTGTTTTTTTTTTTTGAATTATTCATTTATAAATGCAATTATGCCACAACGTTGCATAATTCCGGGTTGTTTTGGAGAAGCGAATCGTTCAGTTTTTAGAGTGCCAAAGAACATTGATAGACGTGAAGAGTGGTTAAAAGCTATTCGTGATGTGTTTCCTAACCTGGATGTTGGTGAAAATTTTTATGTTTGTGAAAAACATTTTAAAGAAGCAGATTTTACGGCATATATAATTGACAAATCTGGAAAAATTATTCAAAAGGTATCATTATAATATACAATACAATAAATATAATACAATAAATAAATAAAAATAGCTTTATGCCATACGTATGCATATGTACACATCCATCTACGAACACGTAAATATAGCTTTATATGCGTTAGCAATAAAATGTAAAATATTTTTGAGTGAATTTGCTAAACTTTAAATAAAAATAAATAAATTCGTGCAAATTCAAGTAAAGGACATCGTCGAAAATGGCCCCAACATGAACAAGCATCAATATTTTACAATAAATCGCCGACATCTTTACTGTCATGTCGTACATGAAGCTGTTAAGGATGTTCTACTTGTAATGTATATAATAATCGATAACTTGATTACACTTTAATTTTTACACTACGAATGATTTTTTATCAATTACTCATATATCCATTCATACATAGACGTATCCACGCATAAAATATGGCTGTATCAATGTTTTTTTAAGTTAGGTAAACTTATTATCTAAATACAATCTCAGAACAAAAAAATCAGCTACGCTATTCTGTTAAAAACAGCCATGAACACAAAGTGAAATAAAAAAAGAAGAAAAGAAAAGAAATAAATAATTGACGGTAAAGTCACTGAACATACATATAAACATGCGTCGCCGTAGAACATATCGACCTCCTCCTCCTTTTCGATTTTGAAGTCGGTTAATAGATGATTACCTTTTGAAGAAGTTTTATCTGGTTGAACTTCAACTCTCTAGCAGTGCTGCGTTCTTCGACCAGTTCGAAGCTGTTTTATAATATATTATGCTTGGTATTCCCTTTTTTGCAACAATTTTCAGTGCTGCTCCACTCATTATTTATAGCATGATTTTATATAGCATTAGTAAGCAATAAATGGACTATTTAACACAATAATAATGTTTCATTTCGAACCAAGAATTCATTAACGCGTTTAACCAATCAAAATCTTCAGCTTTATAACATAAGCATGGATGGAACAAGCGAACCGGCAAAAATGGAAGGACTTTGCCAGAGAAAAGAGTGAATGGCCTATATGCCATCTGAACAAACACGACCACTCTGTCAAGAGTGCACGATTGAGAAGGAGAATAGATAGAACTGCATATGATTAGTGCTCGAGGGTTAGCTGGTCATACGGATAAATTTGTTTTCGCCCTTAAGTATTGTCTTATTTTAGAAAAACACCGTTGAAAATTTACTTCTTAATTAAATATTCTTAATATTTTTTTTTTATAAAAGTACTATTAGCCAGTTTTGGTTTGCGGCTCTTTTGTTTATAAATTGTCAGCTGCCTATATCTCCGTGGAATCATCGGTTGATGTCCTGAAGGGTTTTGTGGCACACAAAGATGCCTATCTACCGCTTTAAATGCCAGCTAACGAGCGTTTCCTTCGGCTTGTTTACTTCTAGCTAACTTTTAATTATTATCAAATTCATATTAATAATAAGTTAGTTAACGTAGTTTTATCTATATGCGTATAAGAACAACGGCTTAACGTGCCCTCTGATGCACTGAGGACCTCGAGATACTAAATTTATGGTCAACCATCCTACAACCGGCGATCAAGAAACTTGTATAACCTCTACACCGCAAACCGAGCGCGTAAACCACTGTGCCATCGTGTTCATTATTAAAAACCAGGGTTTGCTGATTAATATCAAAGTAAGTCGCAATCTCACTTACTAGAAATTTGATTTAAAAGACCATATAATAAAAAAAGCCAATGGCAGTTCCAAAATTACAACTTTTCATATGCATAATTTATATCCGATATATGTCGGATAAATATAAAATATCAGATATTTTGATATTTATTATAAATATCGGATTTCTGCGAATCCTGTTAAAAACTAGCTTTCTGCCAGTGTCTTAGCCCACATAGTTCTGTATTTATACATATCATCATTTCTTTTTAATCACTCTGTATACGATGAAAACCGTTAAAATCCATTGTGTAGTTCAAAAGATCTCTGCGTACAGACAGCGGGAAGCGACTTTGTTTTATACAATGTGTAGATGATTCCGTTTACTGATGAAAAAGATTTTTCTACTGTCAGATTCGGGCTTGAATTTGTTTCATAATATGTAACCTGCAAACACATTCTAGGTATAAAAAATTACCCATGATCACGTCAACAAATAACAACACTAAAGGAATTATTATAAAAAAGAGACAACCCAGAAACCATCTTGTACCTTACCCTTATCAAAGTGCCTAAGTGTGAATATTAGCGAATTTTTTTCTTTCCTTATTCTGTCGTCGAAGCTCGTTGTGTGATAAACTACCTCATGTTTTTATTCATTCTCTGGGTTATGCATATATCACACGTGGGTCTTGCAGATAGTGCGAGGCGTTGATTTATAACAAAAAATATTACATACCGCTTTCTTACTCAGTTAGATATAAATTGCACGAAACATCCATGATTTGTTTCGAGTCACACTCACGGAAAATATAAGGAAAATGATAACCAAATGGTTTGTTATTGTTCAAATGAATCGAAAAGTATTTTAAGTGCTTTAGGTCAAAGTTTTCATTTAAACAAGTGCCTATTTAATAATCGGCAAATATAGCAAGCTCTATTCTCAAATCTTGAACAGACCCATTTTGAAATGGTGCACTTTCATTTGTTTATTTTATTTAATTATTCTAAATTCGTATAAAGTTAAACCTCCAATTTGCACGCACACACGCAACGGAAAAATGTCATGCATGCCGAAGACGGCATACATACATATAAAGAACTATGAAGGTGAACGTCCACTGTATCCGCACGCAAGTAATGGGCGAACGGTTCTCAACAGATTGTATGAATTTACCGATGTCATCGGATTTCTAATAGAAATACCATTTGCTAGTTTTGAAGTTACACTACAAGGTTTTTTTCCTCCTACTCCGCGTAATTTAGAGTGTGGCACCCGCGTATGATGAAGCTTTCCCTACGTGAAAAATCTTTTTTAATCAGTTGAGGACTTTCGGTGTCTATAGCAAATAAACAAGCAATCAAAACTTTCCATTTTATAATATGAATTTTATAGATTACATTAAATAAAAGCTTTAAATAATATGAAACATTAACACCGAACTTAGAAATTACAAGAAACGGAGCCAACAGAAAGAAACTGAATACTCGTATTAATTCCATCTTTTTTCCCGTCCCTCGGTAATTGGTGTAGGGGACAAGCCGAGGCACAATGAAGACAGATTGGTGGACGACGGAGCATCGATCAAGGGGGCAGTTTGTCACCGAATACCAAGGATTTTTGGGGACAATAAGTTTCTGTCGTTTCTCGTAATACGGTCGCTACACGATATTACGTAACTCAGCATTTATCATCTTTTGTTACTATAATTAGATGACAAATTAAAATTTCATGAATTTGGGCTCCTAGATAGTAGTTTAATATATAGACTGATTTTTGATCGCAGAAAGAATTTAAAAAAAATCAAATATAAATCAAATGTATAAGTAATTGACATTTGAATAACAATTAATTAGTCGAAAATCCTGCAAGACCATAAGTGAAAAGAACTGTAGTGAAATAACTCTTAAGTACTCTAAAACATCTGTCTCAAGTCAATCAGTAGTGTCGGAGCAAATTATCTGTGACAGAAGGACGGGCAGACAGACTCCGGAGTACGACATGCTGGATGTGCTTCACGCAGCAAACACGTGCTAAGCCAGCTGCCAAGCACCCAATATAAATACATATCTTTTTAACCTTGACAAACGTACTATTATATTTCGTGCGTTCTTTGTGCTGAAGACCTATACCATCTCCGATAACTAACATAAAGGAAATAACGAACACAGCCACAATTTGCAAACCACCATCTTCATACTTACATAATTATATTTACTTCAGCAGTTTAAGTGGATTGCCTGAACATTAATGAAAATACGCTCAATAGTAGCGCTGAATCTCAAGCACCTCAATTCGAAGCAGCGGAGTCCAAGACGGGTTGTGAAAGGTAGTTGATTTGAGTTCCATCTCGGGGTACCTGGAGCTAATCTTAAAGATATCTTATAGCACTTTGAATGTAAAACTGATCGAATTTTACCCATCTACGTGTTTGTTAGAGGTTTTAATTGGTCTTTCAAGGCATGGAACCCTAAAAAGCTTCTAAATAGACAATTGCTTAGAACTTTTAAATAGAAAACACAACAAACTAATATTTAAGTCCATTTTCATGAGTAAACAAAGTACTAATTTGCGACGTATATTCAAAACGTGTTCAGGTTTTCTTAACATAGATGTTTACAGAGTGCTCATTAAAGTTAGAAGCGAAGTTTAATAATATAGTAATAATATATACTCTCAATTTGTTTCGACATGTTATTCTCTTCCCAAACTCATATTTGATAAGGTCGATTTTTGATCGCACTCGTGCTTTGTAAACTTTTTAACGTATGACCGAAGCCTTAGAGAAGTTTGGATATTTCGACAGTTTACGGCACACACAAGATGGATGATCTCATTTTGTAGTACGGTGGATCATTGACCGATAATTCCAGTTAATAATGCCCGCGCAATTTTGTCTGATCGATCATCATCATCACCAACTTATTGATGTCCACTTCTGAAGGACAAACCTTCTCTATGGATGCAACCGAATAAAGGTAATGTGCGATGCATAACCCACATCGCAGGCCCAGTAAAAAGATGGGTAATAATGACTGCAGACGGCACCAACACTTCAACCAGGCCCGTCTTTACCCATGGAGCAGGGGGTGCAATGCACCCGGGCGCAACGCGTTGGGGGTCGCCGCACCGATGATGGTCTAATCTTGTAGTACCTACTCATCGATGACTTCGGTAATGCGCCCTAAGTTGTAATTTCATTTCAATAATTTTTACATTTTTCAACCGCTAACGCTGAACAACAAGTCTTTTGGATCAGCCGCCACCCTCTCACCACCAAATTTTATTGTTTATTTAAATATAAATATGTAAAAAAAAAATTATAGCCTTTTCCCTGTAATGGGTGGGGGGAGGGGCAGAGCACTGCTTGCACCCGCGCGCCGCACCCG